ATGAATGAATCGGTCGAAAGTCCGTTCGTTGCTAGGAGAATAATTCAATGACGCAAAAAACCAAATATGGCATCTGGAGCACATTTAAGCAACTTAACTCTGTAATTCTCCCAATTCCCAGTTAGAAAGTTTTCCCAATTTCGTCATCATTCATACACACACACACACACATAGAAAGATAAAAAAAAACGCGTGGCGAATGTGGGACGGGACCAGGTTTCCAATTGATTTTCTAGCCAAAAGAGTCGTTTTCTCGTATTGATTAACACTTTATATTGATGATGGGTGGTTAGTGAAACTGTTTTATGTCCACTTACCCGGATGCCTCCGTTTTAATCAGTATTTGAGCTTCTTTTTGTTCACCGGGGCCAAAAATATAAACCTTATTCCAAATACAGTGTGACTGTATCTGAATTATCCATGGCAGAAGCCAGTGTGACCCTCGCAAATATACCTTCTCATTTCCAAAATATACCATAAATATAACGATGAAAAACAAATTCTTTTTCAATCATAAAAAGATAACAAGAGTGTGTTTGGAATGAAACTACGGTATATCATACTTTTAGATATATTTTGACGCCAAAATAGGCATATTTACGGTATATCGATTCACCTGTTTAAATAGAGGGGGTTAAGTGGGCTAAGTTCGTTCGTGACTTATATCGGTATATAAAATAGTATTTTTCGTACATTTTGTGGTATATTACGGTATGTTTCCGCGGTCACAGATTGGTTGGAAAAACTGGATTCGCAAATGAAATTAAAATAAACTAACAAAAATAGTTGCAAACAACTGTGGGAGAGCAGAAACAAACAAAGCTCGGACTGAACTTAACTTGGTGTGTGTGTTTGCTGGTGTTTGTGTGTGTTCGCTTGCGTTTATATCGCTGCAGCAGGAGAGCAATAGAGTTAGTTGGAGGAGGAGGAGGGAAAGCATTCGGTTTTTGCAAGGAAAAGCATAGCATAGCCGCCACCTTTGTAATTACGCCAACTTTGTGGGAGTTCAAGTTTAGCTGCGCGCCTGTATGCGTATCCGTATGCGCGTGTGTGTGTGCAACACCCCCCAAGCCTGAGCAAAACACACGCATACCCAGACAGCCAACAGCCACACACAGATTGTGTGGGCCGCCAGGAGAAAGGAGGAGGCTGCTGCTTCTGCTGATTTGCGTTCCCCCCTTCGTCTGGTGGAGTTCACCGGTCTCCACGGCAGCACCTTGTGGCCGTCCGCTGGATACGGATTTTGTGACGGCGGCGACAGCACAAACGCCGAAGTGGATGCCCATGCACGCGGTGGCCTGGGCATTGCCCAGGACTTTGGCATGGGTCCCGGTGCCGGTCCGCCCGCCCACATGTACGGCGCCGTAGCCCCCCAGGACAGTAAGTCATCGCATTTGCCCATTTCATTTGCTCTCCAATTAGTCATTTATGCATCTCCCCAACAGTCATTGTCCGGGACATGGTACAGATGCCACCGCCGCCGCCCTCGAATGCCCCCACATCGGCGGATGCCTGCCTGAGCATTGTCCACTCGCTGATGTGCCATCGGCAGGGCGGCGAGAGTGAGGGATTCGCCAAGCGCGCCATTGAGTCGCTGGTGAAGAAGCTGAAGGAGAAGCGCGACGAATTGGATTCACTGATAACTGCCATCACAACAAACGGAGCCCATCCGAGCAAATGCGTGACCATCCAGCGCACTCTCGACGGTCGCCTGCAGGTGAGCGATCTTTCGCTGGAGCGAATATGAGAAGCCGCCAGTCCCCCCGAACTCCCGATGCGTCTATTTATAGATGACTCAAGCCATTCGCTTGTGTGTTTGGCTTGTGGCTCTTATCGCACCTGGTTTGGCTAGATGTCTCGACTCAGTTTGCTTTCTGAATTTCCGGTTTTCTGATAGCGATATTGGAGGGGAACCTAACGCGAGCAGGGGTCAATGCTGAAGAGCAGAGCTCTCTGCTGTGTCCCTCGTTATCAGAAATCTCTTCGCTTATCTGGCATCGAATTTAATTTCAATTTCTGTTTGCATTCACAGGTCGCCGGACGGAAGGGCTTCCCGCACGTGATCTATGCACGCATCTGGCGGTGGCCCGACCTGCACAAGAACGAGCTGAAACACGTCAAGTACTGCGCCTTTGCCTTCGATCTCAAGTGCGATTCGGTGTGCGTGAATCCCTACCATTATGAGCGCGTCGTCTCGCCGGGCATCGATCTGTCTGGCCTCAGCCTGCAGTCGGGACCCAGTCGCCTGGTGAAGGACGAATACTCAGCCGGCCCGTTGGTCGGGGGCATGGACATCGATGGCAATGATATTGGCACCATTCAGCATCATCCCACGCAGATGGTGGGCCCCGGCGGCTATGGCTATCCCCAGGGACCCGCTGAATATGGTAGGACTTTGCTTTTTGATACATTTCTTGGTTGGATTTTTTATAATTTTATTTGATTTCATGTTGATTTCGTTTTGGGTTCTTTTTATGTTGTATTTTTCGTTATGATTGGGGTTCTCGTGCAGTCGGCGATGGCAATCCCCTGGGCGCAATGTTCTCCACTGGCCGAACAATACCAAAAATTGAGCCACAGGATGGCGTTGCTGGGTCACGCAGTTCGTGGATGGTGCCGCCGCCGCCGCGGCTTGGTCAGCCACCGCAACAGCAACAACAGCAGCAGCAGCAACAACAACAACCCCCGCCGCCCCAACAGCAACAGCAGCAGCAATCCCAATCCCAGGCAGCTCCGCACACGCTTTGTAAGATTTCGTTTTTACGTTTTATTTGGTTTCATTTTGAGGGCAAAAGTTTCTCTGGTCGATCATCTGTTGCTGGTATTCATCCCGTTTTTGTGCCTCATTGCAGCTGTACCTCATGGCATGCCGGGCATGCCTGGACCCATGAATCCTGGCCCAGTAATGGCGCCGCCACCCCCGCCCCAGCAAGCACAGAATCCCCAGGGCAATGGAGTCCATCATGCCCAGGCCAATTCACCCACAGATCCTGCCTCGGCAATGGCCATGCAACAACAGCAACAGCAGCAGCAGCAACAACAACAACAGCAGCAGCAACAGGCGTCGGGTGGCGTGCCCAATGGACCGAATGGAGCTGTCAATGCCAGCGGAGGCCCTGGCAGTGGTGGGCAGTACTATGGTCCACCCCCCACCTCCAACCAGATGCAGAACGTGGGCGAAAACAAGTTCAGTGGCAACGGAGGCGGCGGAGCAGGTCCAGGTTCAGCCGTTCATCCGCAGCAGAATGGTTATGTATCGCAGTCAGGATCCGCGAATTCAGCACCACCCTTTGGACCACCACCACCCACCTCCCAGCAGCAGCAGCAACAACAACAACAACAGCCGCCGTCCGGTGTCCAGGCCAACTCATCAGGTGGCGGTGCACAGGCCAGTGGTGGCAGTGGAGCTGCCGGGACCTGGACCGGTCCCAACACTCTAACCTACACACAGTCCATGCAGCCGCCCGACCCGCGCTCACTGCCGGGTGCCTTTTGTAAGTGAATGAGGATAATCTCCCTGTCTTTAATCTGTAATTTCTAATCTCATCTCTCGCTCTGCCATAGGGAACTCGACAATGTCAGGTGACCTGGCCTCCCCACAGCAGACGCCGCCACAGCAACAACAGCAGCAGCAACAACAGCCCCGTCTGCTCTCCCGTCAACCACCGCCGGAGTACTGGTGTTCGATTGCCTACTTTGAGCTGGACACGCAGGTGGGGGAGACCTTTAAAGTGCCCTCGGCCAAGCCGAATGTCATTATCGATGGCTATGTGGATCCCTCCGGCGGCAATCGCTTCTGCCTAGGAGCCCTCAGCAATGTGCATCGCACAGAGCAATCGGAGAGAGCCAGGTGAGTGCATTAGATCCTACATAGCTATTTCCAGGAGAATTTAACAATTTCCGTGCCTTTTCTTCAGGCTGCACATTGGCAAGGGCGTTCAGTTGGATCTGCGCGGTGAGGGCGATGTCTGGCTGCGCTGTCTCAGCGACAATTCTGTGTTCGTACAAAGCTATTATCTGGATCGCGAGGCAGGCCGAACGCCTGGCGATGCTGTGCACAAGATCTATCCGGCAGCGTGCATCAAGGTGAGTACAAGGATTCAAGTGTTTGGTTCCTTAACTGGATTTCTATCATTTGTAAAACAGGTGTTTGACTTGCGTCAGTGCCACCAGCAGATGCATTCGCTGGCCACCAATGCGCAAGCAGCTGCCGCAGCACAGGCGGCCGCTGTGGCCGGTGTCTCCAATCAACAGATGGGCGGAGGCGGTAGAAGTGAGTCGCCAGAGAGTGACATTCTTACACAGAAAACTTATCTGGACCATTCCATTCTATTGCAGGCATGACTGCGGCCGCTGGCATTGGGGTGGACGATCTGCGTCGTCTTTGCATACTGCGTCTGAGCTTCGTCAAGGGCTGGGGCCCCGACTATCCACGACAGTCGATCAAGGAGACGCCCTGCTGGATCGAGGTGCATCTGCATCGTGCCCTCCAGCTGCTGGACGAGGTGCTCCACGCCATGCCCATCGATGGGCCACGAGCGGCTGCCTAGCCGCCGTAGGATCCACAGCATTCATATTTATTAACCATAGCAACAACTGCAACTGCAAGCACACACATGTCTACGTTTAAGGATCGAAAGTTTGCGAGAGATATTTGGTTTTTGATTTGATTGCAATTCTGATTATGTTTGCCTTTAATTATTTAATAATGATTTTTATAAAAAATTGAAACAAGTGAGCAGTTTTAAGCAAGCATCTAGTTTTATGTACTATAATTAAATACATACAATACACGCACCCCCCCACACACTCACACACAAACTGATGGACAGTCGGACAGACACACGACACGACACGACGAGACAAGAAGCATACACAGCATTACACAATCATCATCCTCCCCAGAAACAAAGCCAGCCCACAATTCAGCAGCATCGATGCACACATAAATACATACATATGGATGTAAAATGCAACATAAATAAGGCAAGCGAAACAAGTAGTTTGTAATAAATAAGTTTAATAAACAGAACATAAACGAAATGTGAATTCTGATCATTGGGCAGCATGAATTGGCTCCAGCCGATCCTTATAGCTCACAATCTTCAGCTCCACCTGCTTGTCTAACCAGTCAATCCACTCCGTGGTAATCTCACGCTGCATCGTAACCTCGTGGAAGACTTCGACACGTCCGGTTTCCACAAATTGAAAGCTCTCAAAGAGACGCACGGACACGGCGTTGTCCATGTCGATCTTCACCTCGAATTTGTTCAGTTCCAGCTGGGATTGGGCGTACTTTAGCATGAGCAGCATGACCTCGCGTCCGTAGCCTTTGCCCCTCGCTTGGGGCTCCGCTATCATTATCTCCGCCTCGGCCACGCTCTGATTGCTGTCGGGGTCATGGCGCAGGAAGAGATTTGTGTCGCCCACCATGGCGGCAAGCTCATCATTGTCCTGGGCATAAATATCGGCGTCGAGGATAATGAACGTAAGTTTGTCGCTGTCCTTGCGCCAACTCTGCTGCATAAGGTACTCCTCGGAGAGTGTCAGCTGCTCAGAGGCCGTCAGCTGCCGCAGAGTCTCATTGCTCATCCAGTCGTGGTATTTGGGTACATGACGCGCCTCATAGGGCACCAGGACGATCTTTTTCCCCAGCAATTTTATGTTTTCATTCAGATGCATGACGGCTGGGAAAGTGCTGAGAAAAAATAGGGTATGGTCAGCAGGTAAAACGGGCCAGAAAATTCAACGCATGCAAGGTAAAATCCACCCTACAATACCATGAAATTTTCAAACAGAGTTGCCAATATTGTTAAAGAACTGCGGCTGTAATTTTGCATGGAAAATTAAATTAAATTATGGAAAAATCGAAAATATCTCGAGATTGCCGCGCTTGCGGCATGTTTATTTACAACGCAACATCCAAGAATCTCTTCCAAGAGCCGGACAACATAATGCTGAACCAAATCGAAGCCTTAACGGGCCTATTTGTAAGTATCCAAGTTTTAGACACGTTCAGACGAACTGATGGATTGGGAGGTCTACATCTCCACACATCCGTTCCAACCGACTTTTGACTTGTTCACTTTTGCTTTTGCTGCAGCTTCTCGAGCAGCCGAATTTCCCAGCTCGCATTTGCGGCCCTTGCGAGGTGTCTCTGAGGGAAGCCGTGCGCTTCCGGGAGCGTGTCATCCAGACGCAGAAGTTGCTCCAGAGCGGTTCCGCCAAGCCAGAGGCTGTCGAAGAGATCTACTTGCACGCCACTGGACAAAACTCAGACCAGGAAGCACAAGAGGTGCCCGACTCTGAGAGCGAGGAGAAAGACGACAGTCAAGGTGTGCCGTCGGTGGAACTAGAATCCCTCGAAGAGGACGAAGACCCTGGTGTGGTGGTACCGAAAGATGTGACGCTTGATTCGACTGCCCCAGCCAAACCCAGTGCCGAGACGGAATCAAAAGTTGCCAGATGCCAACAGCCCCCACGTACCCCCACCGTATACGCATCGATGACGTTTGCGGATAACAGCAAGAGTCGGAACCTGCCGCGTACCCAGTGGGACAGGCTCACCGAGGAGGAGACGGTGGCTCTGAAGCGGGAGCGCCGCAAGCGGGACTGCATCTGTGAGCAGTGCGGCCGTCACTTCTCCTGTCCCAGCAATTTCAAAGTCCACCTGCTGCGGCACTCGGGTGTGAAGAATTTTGCCTGCGAGCAGTGTCCACAGACGTTCTATACGGCCCATCTTCTGCGGCGCCACGAGATGCTGCACCGGGGCGAGCGTCCGTTTCCCTGCCAGTACTGCAATATGTCATTCAACAACTCCAGCGGACGCATTCAGCACGAACGCATGTATGGGTCTCCCCAAGCCCTGTGGCACTCTTGTCTGATGTCAACTCTTGTACTTTCAGTCGCCACACCAACATCAAACCCTACAAGTGCACCGAGTGCGATAAATCCTTTGCTGTGAGTGGGAAACTCAAGGTGCACATGCTTAGCCACACGGGTGTGCGGTCCTTCCAGTAGGTTCAGCTCTACACCGACTGATATATATAATTACCCATATAAAATCTTACATTTTTTTGTAGTTGCGAGCAGTGCAAAGTGTCGTTCATACGCCGCCCCCATCTACAGGCCCACTTCCGCTCGAAAAGCCATGCCCAGAACTCGCATGCCCAGGAGTCCCAGGAGTCCTCCGCCAAAGCATTGGAAGTCGATGTTGAGACCCTTCTTCAGTAGAATCTTTAGATAATAGCTTATAATGTTCCAATTATAGTAATATTATATAGTTGAGTATAAATCTCGCTGAAATATTTAATCTGGCCAAGCATTGAAGCCGATGGACAGTCTGGATATCCTTCTATATAGAAACGTTTTAGGAGCGGAACTGGAACATCTACAGCGCCACTATTGGATGTTACATGAAAAGGCAGAGATGTTACGTTTTATGCTTCTATTTTTTGATGACATTTTCTGTTTAAACCTGAAAGCAATCCAATTAAAGGAAGTTCTTAAAATTATCCAATCTTATAGTTGGATTAAAAATATAAAAATTTAGGTATATGATATTTTTGTTTGGTATATTTACAGTATATTTTGACATTGGTATATTTGGGTATATTTCTAAGGGTCACTGATGTATACACATATTCTGATAAGAACGCAATTTACCGTTTGTTGATTGCAAAAAACGTTAATTTTTGAGTTAAAAAATGCCTTAAACGACGGATCAAAAGTGCCATGTGAACTAACTGAGTGCCATAATGTGTGAGAATGGAGCACAAATCAAAAACCAGCCCAGTATCTTAAGAGGACCGTAACAAAGCCGAATCTAGTCCAAGAGAATTTGCAGCACGACTAACTACCACCCACACCCACACACCCTCCCACACACAATGTCAAACGATGTGCAAATAGCAGCAGACGCCAAGATTGGGATCGAGGTGCACCGGCGGAATGACAAACAGCAGCAGCCACACCAGCGGGAGGTCACAGGAATCTCGAAGAATGCTGCTGGCAGCGTCGTTGGCGAAGACATTGAATATGTTTTTGGCAGCATATCGCCGCGGGGAGGCTGCACCAATGCCAAGCACCTAGTGGGCACCTACGAGCCGGAGTCGCCGGAGCTCACGCCACGCGACACTACCGAAAGTGACATCAATATTTCGAGCTGCTCCACGCTGGACATTGTCAATAAAGTAAGTTGTGACAGCACATAGTATATTTGTGGCTGCGTGTGGCGCACAGTGCGCAGATGCGTACCGAGTCGAAGGTCAAACTGCAGCGCAGAATGCACCGCCAGCAACGTCTAACGACGTAATAGCCAGGGCCAGTAAAATTTTCCACTGAGGCCATGATTGCGGAGCAACTGCTTCCGCGCAGCCTGAGCTGCTTGTGCTGCAGCGACACACCTCCTGTTCCTGGTGGCATTGGCGGCTTTGGGATTCAGCGCGCTGAAAAGCGACAAAGCTGGGAATATACTCTGATGGCCCAACCACTGGCCAGGCGACCCATTAATGTGATGACGATATGTCCAGCTACATCAGTTACTAAGTGCCATGTTTTTGTTTTTGTTGTTGTTGCAGGTGGAGCAATTGTCGGTGCAGCAGCTGGAGAACCGTGTCCGCGAGCTGACACAGCGCTTGCAGCAGGCGGAGCGCCAATTGTCGGAGAGCAATGCGGAGAGGGAAATGTGCCACAAGCGTTTGGAGGTGGTCAGTCAGGCGCACGAATGTCGCATCACAGAGATGCACTGCGTCATTGCGGAGCTGAGCAAAAAACTGCGCTCCAAGCAGGATCATATCATAGTCGAGGAGCAGGAGCCCGAGGGCAGTGGTAAGCCAAATATTCTTGGAATAGAAAGCCATGGAAATGCTCATCCAATCTACCCTTTTAGAGCTGAGCTATCAGGATGGTTCTGTGTACAACTCGGAACTGAATCTGACCAATCCAGATGAAGAGTGTCAGACGGAGCCACTGGAAGATCTCTACAGCGCTGCTAGCGTGGATAAAATCGGCCTTAAGCCACAGGAGCTGGGCAACAAAGGACAGCTGGACGCTCTGCAGGAAGAAGTTTTGCATTTGAGGGCTAAGATCGCCTTGCTCCAGTCAGAGATTGCTACCAAGGATGCGGCTGTCGTTGAAGAGCAGACCAAGGTGGACTTTTTTGCCTGTGAACAAGAGGCCAACGAGAGTGGACAGCGACTTAACGATCTGAATGGTAGGCGAAAAGACCTACCCATGTCCTGCCATCCGGCCATCCTCTAACCATATCGTTTTGCAGCTTGTGTTTCTCTGACCAGCCCACAGAAGCGAGTGCCTGCCGTGCCCAAAATGGCCGAACGGGTTAAATTGCGCTGCGCCAGCAAGAACGAACAAGACGAAGAACCAACCAGCGATGCACACACGGAGCTGAGCAACGAGGTAGGTCGCTAGAATCCCTCGCTTATCCGCTTATCGCTAATCTATCTCAATTACTTTCAGCACATCAACTTAGTGGAGCATTTGGTTAGCGAACTGAAGGAACAAAACTCTTTCATGGACAGCGTCATGGAGCCGATGCACCTGAGCAAAGATCTGGAGCCACATCAGCGTAAAATGGAGTATCTGAAGATGCGAAACACAATTCTGGCCATGACGCTGGACGAGTCGAAAGAGCACACCGAACATTTGTACTTGCTGTGCGGCAAATACGAGTCGAATGCGGTGGCCCTTCAGTTGGCGCTCAACTGCAGCGATCGCGCCATCGAGGCCTATGATGTCATGCTGGCACTGTTGGAGACCAAGTAAGCCCTGGACATTGCATTGGAGATTCCATCTTACAGCGTACTAAAACCATTTTAAAATCTGTAAATTAGGTTGGCGCTTCTGAGCGATAAATCAGCGGCAGCGGAGGAGAGCCGCCGTTCGGTTGAGGCGGTGGCCAAGCATCTGTTGGCTCGCCTGGACAGCGAGAAGAATGTGTGCGAGAACAGTCTGGGCCCATGGCAGCACAATATAAATCTGGGAGCAGATGATGACCCGAAGAGTGCCCGGCCATGGTGTACCGACGATGACAATCGTCTGCGCAATCACGTCTCGAAGCTCAAGGGGCGCCGCTCGACGGTGCAGCATACAATTGTCAATCTGGAATCACCGTTCAGCGATGTATACGAACGGAAGCGTCTGGCCTTGGAGAAGGGGCACGAGTACAAGAAGTCGCCCATCGATTTAGATACGGCCGTCATCATGCAGGAGCTGCTCGAGTTGCAGGACGAGAATATGGAACTAAAGACCAAAATAAATGAAGCTGAGCAGGATCGACAGCATTCCAAAGAGCGAGTGGCCATACTGCACGTTGCCCTCCAGCAGCTGCAGCTGGCGAATCGAGTCTCCTACTCGGAGGCCGAGCATTCAGCGGTCACCGAGCAACAGTTGGTCGAGGCCCTAACCCGCGAAACAGAACTAAAGGGTCGCCTCCAGACGCTTCTGGCCAACTTTACGTCCTCGCAACGAGCCTCCGAGGAGAAGTACGAGGAGCTGCAACAGAGCGTACGCGAGCTGCAGCAGTCGAACCAGTAAGTTTTCACAAATTCCAGCTGGGCTATATGTATTATTAATTGTGTAAATGTATTGCAGCAATTTGGGACAAATGTTGGAGGCCAGCAGGCGCAAGTATCAGGCGAGGGTAAATAAACTGGAGCAGAGGATTGCAGACTTGCGGCTGGACCATGAGCAATGCAACAAGCATGTTCCTGAGACAACGCTGTAGATGTAAGGATGTCTTTATACTGACTGTCACCCAAAGAAGTGGATGGTGGATGAGCGGGGGCTGTGCACTAAGAACCTTTCTCTACCCGATCATATCGCTTCTGCTACCGCTATTCCCACCATTATCCGAGGCACCGCCCGCTCCGCATCCATCCCCTCTCGGGTGTCGCGTCAGGACCAAGGACAGTATCACGAATGTGCCATGCGACTAACTTGTAGCCGGTGGCTAGGCCCCGCGGCGGATCAGGCTGGATAAACTACATACATATTTACGTAAACATATAAACATGGTGCCATGGGAACTAAGCTCCAAGTTGAATCTTATTTGAGCTGGGAGCTGGCTTCTGGGCGCCACAAAGCAATTACATATACACATACATACGATTAGACAAAACGAAACAAAGAAGTTACTCACGACGACGCGTACACGGGAATCCTATATTTATACAACGTATTCGAATTATGCTGCTTGTTATATGAACTCTATATGTATTTAAACTTGTACAAATTATATGTCTACTGAATCTAGTACGTTCATTCTCACTCATTTGAGGATTCGTCCTCGGCGGCATTATCACCGTTCGCGTCACCGGCATCGTCTACGTCTTCGGCATCGTCTCCATCTCCGTCACCACTACCACTACCACTTCCACTGCTATTACTATTACTATTGGAATTGCTGTTTCCATTGCTCTCCGTGATGTCCTCCTCGGCATGTCCGTTTGTGTGCTCCGGCGTTGGTGCGGTGTCATTGGCAGTGATTGGGCCGAGGGTTTGAATGTGTTCGCGGGCGGCCTGGACCAGCTTCTCGAGCTCCACGCACTCAGTTTCAATTTCGTAGTTCTTCGATACGAGCAACACCCAGTGGGCGTCCAGGGAGCGCAGCCTTTCGCCCGCCAACGTCTGCGCCTGCTTGCGTTGCCAGTTCACGTCCTGTATGTCCTTTTTCAGTTGCTGCAGCTGCAGTTGCGCTTTGGCCTGCATGGCGGTGAATACCTCAAGGTATGATTTCCACGCTTCCGTGCCGTAGTCCAGCAAAAGTTCCAGATTTAGGGAGCGCACGCACTGGTGTTCCAGTTGGGCCATGGAGTTTTCGATTGCCTCTTGCCAAGCAGACACCTCGCTTAGCTTCCCAGACGGCGGGGGTGGCAGCTCGTACCGCTTCATGGAGAGCGTCTCCATGGGCAGGCGATTCTGTATGCGCTCGAATTCGTTGACCATCAGCGGTGTCTCGAATGTGGTTGGCAGCGGCAGATGGTCCAGGTAATTCTTTGTTGGCCGGTAGCGTCTGCACTCCTCTTCAACCATGGCGAGCGCCGATTCCCTGACGCCAACGTCGTCGTACCCATGATCAATATAGGGCAAGGCATCCACAATAACTTCTCCAGCCATTTTTAATTCAATTTTTGCAGATAAACAAAATTATTTCAACTTGCGGCGTATTTTTTTTCGGTATAATTTTACGTCGAAATTGAGTTGACGGTATATTTAATAAATTTTTTGGTATATTGCAGTATATTTAATAGGGTAACGTTTTTCTTCGCCAGAGGGCGCACACGGTACGAGGATGAGTGTGTGTGGGAATGAGACAGAGATAGTAGCCAAACCGCTTGAGCAATCTCAGTTTTTCCCCTTTTTTCAAAACTGGTACACAATATTTCTTTTTCACCGGTATATTTACGCTATATTTTGAAAATGAGCATGTATATTTCGATATATTTTTGAGGGTTGGATGGTATATTTGTTCGATAAATCCGCGGTCACACTGACTTTTAGTCACTTACCAACACTAACCGCGGCCTGCTTCAAAAAACACGAACGAAGTGTAAAACGTATCGGATCTGCTATGCAATGCCATCAAAACGTGCAAAGAGTAGCCTATGAAACCAACTAAATCTATTTCTTAACCTTGAGCTGTACAAGTCCCTCTAGCTACGCGGAGTCAATCCTAAGATAATCGCCAGTCACACCGCTGTCCAAGTTCAGAGCTTTTTTTTTTTTTTTTTTGGGGGTTTTATGTTACCACTCTACCCTTGAGTAAGTCCAGCGCTTAAAGACATGGAAAATTAGACGCTAAGATTGTCGCCTGTCCAGCAGCAAATCCCTACTTGTATATAAGAATACGGTTTCAATTATATTTTTAGTACCCAGTTGGTGATGTATCTACTCTCCGAGTTTCTTGAAAAGGCTAACTTATCTGGGTCAATTCCAGCGAAAATACTAATTGTGCCCCTTGCATGTGGTTCGCATTACGCTTAGCATTATATCATTAAATGTGAAACCTAAATAAGTCTGCCATAAAAGTTTATCACTGTACCATGGTGCGAAGAGATATAAAAGACTATATAGATTAAGAATTTCGGACCTAAAAGACCACTCTGTGGCCTTCAAAGTTTCCATCCTGCAAAGTGAAGCGGTAGGAAAAAGATCATCATGTGGGCGATATTATATATTAGACATTTTAGATATTGAATATTGCGGCTTCTGGTGCTGATTGGCTGCACTCCCAGCATCCGAATTAGATGACCAAACCTCACAGGAATGGAGTGCCGAAAAGACCTGCCTGGATGTGACTAAATCCGCTTCATTAGAGAGATCCCACTGTGGAGGAACACTGGTATTATCTGATGCAACTCTATTTCACTTTACGTCTTTTGCTACTTTAAAGGCCCGCCGCTGATCAGAACCTGTACAGCCCGTACGATGAAGCAGTTCCCCTAAAGCTCTGCCACAAAGCCCCGGAACGTATATATTACAACGACATGGAAGAGATTTCCCCTAAAATCGCCACTAAATTATATTCTTGGCGGCATGATTAACATATTGGAATTAAAAAAAAAACAAATGTATCTTTAATTTGATCGTTTTTCAGCAATTCGGGGGGCGTTCGGCCTGGCATGATGCGGTATCAGAGTTGTAAAATTCATTCGTGTTGCAGTAGTATAACCAACCCAGGTAATCTAAGCTCAATTTATAGCAATACACGTACCTGAAATTGGAAAATTTCGTACATAAATAATTAATAATTTAACGCGAAATCAACAATATAGCTAGACTCACTGTCTGCAGGTTGAATCACTCGCCACCCGAAAGTATCCTTTTTGTCGTAACGTTGCACAATAAACATCAGCACTTATTGGAGATCCTGTGGTTGATTCAGTAGATGTATATGCCGTTGAAGTGGAAGATTCGGTCGATGTATCTGTCGTTGAAGTGGAAGATTTGGTCGATGTATCTGGAGTTGAAGTGGAAGATTCGGTCGATGTATCTGTCGTTAAAGTGGAAGATTCGGTCGATGTATCTGGAGTTAAAGTGGAAGATTCGGTCGATGTATCTGGAGCTGAAGTGGAAGATTCGGTCGATGTATCTGGAGTTGAAGTGGAAGATTCGGTCGATGTATCTGTCGTTAAAGTGGAAGATTCGGTCGATGTATCTGGAGTTGAAGTGGAAGATTCGGTCGATGTATCTGTCGTTAAAGTGGAAGATTCGGTAGATGTATCTGGAGTTGAAGTGGAAGATTCGGTCGGGAAAGTGGGATCGGTGAGTACTGGGTTGGGGTACTGCGTTAAAGTGGAAGATTCGGTAGATGTATCTGGAGTTGAAGTGGAAGATTCGGTCGATGTATCTGTCGTTAAAGTGGAAGATTCGGTCGATGTATCTGGAGTTGAAGTGGAAGATTCGGTCGATGTATCTGGAGTTGAAGTGGAAGATTCGGTCGATGTATCTGTCGTTAAAGTGGAAGATTCGGTAGATGTATCTGGAGTTGAAGTGGAAGATTCGGTCGATGTATCTGTCGTTAAAGTGGAAGATTCGGTTGATGTATCTGGAGTTGAAGTGGAAGATTCGGTCGATGTATCTGTCGTTAAAGTGGAAGATTCGGTAGATGTATCTGTCGTTAAAGTGGAAGATTCGGTCGATGTATCTGGAGTTGAAGTGGAAGATTCGGTCGATGTATCTGTCGTTAAAGTGGAAGATTCGGTAGATGTATCTGGAGTTGAAGTGGAAGATTCGGTCGATGTATCTGTCGTTAAAGTGGAAGATTCGGTCGATGTATCTGGAGTTGAAGTGGAAGATTCGGTCGATGTATCTGGAGTTGAAGTGGAAGATTCGGTCGATGTATCTGTCGTTAAAGTGGAAGATTCGGTAGATGTATCTGGAGTTGAAGTGGAAGATTCGGTCGATGTATCGCGTTAAAGTGGAAGATTCGGTAGATGTATCTGGAGTTGAAGTGGAAGATTCGGTCGATGTATCTGTCGTTAAAGTGGAAGATTCGGTCGATGTATCTGGAGTTGAAGTGGAAGATTCGGTCGATGTATCTGTCGTTAAAGTGGAAGATTCGGTCGATGTATCTGGAGTTGAAGTGGAAGATTCGGTCGATGTATCTGTCGTTAAAGTGGAAGATTCGGTAGATGTATCTGGAGTTGAAGTGGAAGATTCGGTCGATGTATCTGTCGTTAAAGTGGAAGATTCGGTCGATGTATCTGGAGTTAAAGTGGAAGATTCGGTCGATGTATCTGGAGTTGAAGTGGAAGATTCGGTCGATGTGTCTGTCGTTAAAGTGGAAGATTCGGTCGATGTATCTGTCGTTAAAGTGGAAGATTCGGTAGATGTATCTGGAGTTGAAGTGGAAGATTCGGTCGATGTATCTGTCGTTGAAGTGGAAGATTCGGTCGATGTATCTGTCGTTAAAGTGGAAGATTCGGTCGATGTATCTGCCAAGAAGAAATACATAAATAAGAATTTCGATTTTCGAGGTTCTGCTAACCCGTTGCTACATCCGATGTTGTAGATGTCGTATCATCAGGTACACAAGAAGGCTGAAAGAAGTGAATTGCATTTCACGAAATTGTCAATGAATATAATGAATGAAATCAAATAACTCACTGAGGAGGTCTCTTGGGGAGAACAAATGATGTCCAGCGTGCAAAAATTTCCTTCGGGACATGGAGTGATTGTGCTTTCGACGACCGTCGTCTGGTTAAAGCAGAATCCATAGCTGGTCTCGTCTACGCACGCATACTGGTTATTGGTCAGTGCACAATTTGAGCAGCCAGCGGATTGACCGAGAGCCGTTTGGAGAAACAAGAGGAGCAGAACGAGCTAGAATGGAAAAGAAATGTGTGAAATTGACTTAACTATTAGCTCTACTCACTTTTAAAGTAATATTTGCATGCATGTCTGTTTAGCGCGAAGGTCTAGTTTCTTGTGATCGCGGGAAGATCTGCAAATCCGTTTTATAGGAGTCTAGGCCTAGCATAAGTGGGTGTGGTTTGTTTATATAAAGATAAGAAAGATACACGCTCAAGGTTTTAGAGCGGACCCCAAATTAATCGGGGCGCCATAAACCATATTCGGCAGTGCTGACGAAAGTGCTAAAAATGTGATGTCTTCCGAGATCGCGGACCATTCGTAAAAGATAAGTTACGACGAAAAGATGTACGTGCGTCGTTCTGGTGAGTGCTTCCAAAGTGGTCCTAATGAGAGAGATTGTTCGACTTGTTGTGTCTCAACGTTTAGTTGGTCCTTGTGGCGCTGCAGGGGAGTTTGATCTGGTCTGCCTTGCATAAATCAGACCTCATACAACCTGTGCTTTGGCGGCAGCAAGCCGTTACCGGCAGGTAGTACAGGTAAGAGTAGGTTGTGGCTTTAGTTTTCTTTCGGCGGTATCTCTTTCAGAATATGTACTTACGTAGTGCATGTGGGATCATTTTCGTTTGTTTGAAAGCCCGATTTTGTGGCTTGCTGGCAACCTTCCCCAGCAGTCCAAGGCTTCACTGTTGTGCTTGCTTCATCCGCTTTGCATGCCGGGTCATCATTTTCATAGCAGTGTACTCACCATGGGTGAGCAGAGGATTTATCTTATATGTGGCTCGACAACACCGTAATTCTTATCTTAAAAGGCTGCCCAAAACACACACACTACGAGATATATATTTATATATATTTATGCATGTTTTTATTGCGCTGTCATCAGGCTCTGCTGCATCAATAAACAAGGCTACAGGTAATTTATATAAAAATATATTCACAAATTGAAGGCGCATTCGTTAGCTGAGCTTTTTAGCAGAATGTGAATTCCACCATTTTGCGCAAGGTACTGGACTGGGCGCAGTACCACAAGGACGACCCACAGCCCATTGGCGAGGACGAGAGCAAGGAGAAGCGCAGCGACGACATCATCTCGTGGGATTCCGATTTCCTTAAGGTAGACCAGGGCACGCTCTTCGAGCTAATATTCGCCGCCATTTATCTGGATATCAAGGGCTTGCTCGAGCTGACTTGCAGGACCGTGACCAATATGATTAAGGGCAAGACTCCAGAGGAGATACGCAAAACTTTCAACATCAAGAAGGACTTCAGTTTCGCCGAGGAGGAGCAGGTGCGCAAGGAGAACGAGTGGTGCGAGGAGAAGTGAGACGAGTTAACGGCGGTTACTCAGCTGCTGGCTGATTACACAATAATTTACAAATTTTCGTTATTTCGATATGTAGCCTATGCGTAGGTTGAAAAGTTTCCCTAACACACAAATATATATTATTCCTCACTGAGTTTGAGATAAATAAACAAATATATAAATAAACAGCACGCTATTTAAGGCATTGTCTTAAAATTCTTTATATATTTCTCTTTGCTTGTGCTGCTCATGCACGATACGACTTTTGAATCGCTTACTAATACTCAAAATCTGTGGTTTAGTTAATTTACAATTGCACATCGTTGCTTAAAATATAAATAAACGCACACACATATACAATACACACATATAAAAACATATAGACAACTAGATTTACAATTACGTTTTCGGTTTTGGAACTCCAACATTAAAATACATACATATAGCAACATTAGCGCACAACAACAATCAATAATCAGTTATTGTCTAGGAAGACGACGCAGTGGCACGAATTCAACGCGCTCACAAGGAATATAACAAACATTGGACAGAGATTGCTAGCCCTAAACGGAATACTAAGTTTAACACACAGTCCCGGCCCCGGCCCGTAGACCCTTACTTTTCCAGTGCCTCCTGCTCGCGATGGTGTCGCTTGAAGCCCCACTCGACAAATACGAAAGCAATGGTGCCTATGGTGCCAGTGATCACAAGTATTGCCAACTGGACGTACAGCCCGAAATGTGAGGAGTAGAAAAAGCTAATGGCTGCCGCCACGGATTGGGTGAACTTAAACAGGGCAAAAGCGCCCACGGCATTATTCACGTATTCGCCACCCAGCATCGAGTAGATCTGGGTGTTAAAGCAGGCATCGCCCAGGCCGAGAAGGAAAGCACAGACCAGGGCAATGCTCGCACTGGGCGTTTCCAGGTACGATATATCGGTGGTATCTTTGAATGGTGCGCTGTTCGGCAGATTAATGAACGTCATGAAGTAGGCAGCCATGTGCATAATGTAGCCAACAATTACGATGGGGTCGCGTCCAAAGCGTGTTGTCTTGTTGCCCAGTATTCCGAAAAGTCCACCTCCGAAAACTTCTCCGGCGCCAATGCAAATTCCCACGAGGCCGACAATCTCCTTGGGCGTTTCAGCTATTTTCGTGGTAAAGCCAATTGCGGACCCAAAGACGCCACTAAAGAAGGACAGCTCCAGACCTGTAAAGCAAGCAAAGGTCTATGAGCAATTCGATGTACAGAACAGAATTAGCCGGACGAACCTGTGTAGAAGAAAGCCAAGCTAAGGAGCAGCATCTTCTTGGTAAAGAAGAGTTGACCGGCCGACTTCAGGGCATACAATGCCTGGTCGTAGCCCGTGTGCTTCTGCTCCAGCTCATTGTCGTGCTCGGCGTTGTCGGGCATGGAGCGGAGGGCAGCCAAAAACACAATTCCCAGCACGGCAATCACAGTGAGCACCCCTATGACCAGATTCCTGGTTTCCTTGTCGATGCGTGTCTTGTCCTGGAACTGATAGTAGACAAACAGATTGCCGATGAACATGCTGCACTGAAGGAGCGCCCAGAAGACGCCCGAGTTTCGAGAAATGGTCGTCGATTCGCTGCATCGCGCCAGATAAGTTCCCTGTCCAGTCCAAGTGATGGAAGCGCCCAAGCCCAGCACTGCGCTGCCCACATACAGCAGCACCGTCGATGGGAACATAAAGGTGATCATAAAGGCGCTGAAAAAAAAAAAACGGGTAGAACAATCTTATTTACTGATCCATTTTGAATCTATTGTGTGGATCTACTCACGTATAGGTCAATGCACCTACCACCATGGCCACACGGGGTCCCGTGAACGATATGAACGACGGCGCCAGCCAATTGGAGAGCGAAAAGAATAGATAAATAATGGCCAGACTTGTGTAGCCCTCGCCCTTGAAGCTATCATCTTCCTGGGAAATGCTGTCCAGTATAGTTTTCTATCAATGAAATTGAAAAGAAATAGTAAGTATATTGATTATCATTTTGAAAACGTGCCAGCCGCCTTTCGTTTTGTGCATGCCAATGAACCGGCAATCAAGTGGCTCAAATAATATAATGTATGTTTATTGTATTTCTGTTTAAATGTTATACACAAAACGTGTTCTCAATTCAAGTGCAAAGGGTGCTTAAAATACAGGTATTTCTTGTCCGGATGCATTTTTTCTTAGAAAAAAAAGCTGCCCCCACATACACACTTGTACAATCCATCGAGACTGCTTCAATAATTTTGAAAATAAATACGAGTAGGAGTACGAGTATATTGAATACTAAGTACTAAGTATGGCTGCACTCTGCAAGCAAATTCAAGTGCAATGCTGTAATTCTTGCAAGGCAGCCCACATTCCGAATCAGAATCTGAATCTGAGTGGAAAATTACTAGCTAAATAAATACGAAACATGTTTTCGGTTTGGTAATTTTCCATTCGAAAGGACGCATCTGAATGCACCGTGGAACGATATCGTTATCTCGCAGCAGAATTCTGACTCTGACACGATTTCGATTTCGATTTGCATCAATTAACTGACACTGGCGTGGCCCGGTCTGGTCTGGTCTAGTCCTTGTGCCCATTTTGAAGTCCAACATGAGAGCAAAGTTGTGCTGCATTATCAGTACTCGATGCAGTTCTCAGCGCCAGCACTTTAAAAACGAACTTTAAGCAGGCGAAACCCCAATATGTATACTTGGGACTACGCGTCAGATTGTGAAAGTGAAAGTTGAACATTCCGATGCAACCTTTAATATTCATCCATACACCCACCCACCCATTCCGGATGAGCTTTTAGAAACGGAAGTGCTCAGACAGTGTACATAAGTAATTGCAATGGAATACAGGAACTGTCTAGAACAGGAAGTTGTTGGCTCAATGCTGAAAGAAATACCAGGGGGACTTGCATTTTGTATACGGCAATACACATATGTAGTACTAAATACAGATGCACATACATATCTATGTATGTAGATATATATTTATGTACATAAATTTGTGGTATTTATAATTATTTGATTGTTACCATTCACACTGTAAGCCTTAACCTATATATATTTGTATGTAGACGTGTAGAGGTATTAGAATATTGTTTATAAAGCGGATCGTTAACCATAAAACGATTCTGATAAGAGCACTCGACTCTCAAGTACAATCTCACCTTATCGGTAGCAAAGCAGCTACCGAGAACATTATCAATGAACTTTTTATTGAAGATCTTTTGATTGAGGGACCACTGAGGGGACGTAGCTGAGATTTGGGTCAAGTTTTGTGCAAACAATGATTGAGGCAAAACCCAAATGTCCAATCAAAAGAAAGCTGCATTGACTGGTTGGAGAATGCAGGCCAGGCCCCAATATATTGCACTACTGATTTATTACGCAAAATAAACTGGAACAACGACTTGCAAAAGGTTCGAAAAATGCAGAAACAAGTTTCGGTTTTATTTTTGTTGTAGTTTTTGTTGTTTTTGGATAGACATTCAGGCAGGTTCCGGTTTACACTTTCACATAAAATTTGTGATTTACTTTTCGAAACGGTAGATTAGGCGCTCTTGCATTCGTAAACTCAAGAATTTTCCGTTTTGAAAACGGTAACATATTTCTCGCCGAAATGAAAACTAAAGGGCTTTTTATAAAATTACAAAGGGAAAAAAATAGATGGCATTTTGATGCTTTGACATGAATTCGGCTACATTACCAGGCCAATTGAGCTTGTGCCCTTTTTATAAATACTTTTTTTTGAAAACAACCTCAAAATTGAAACTGAAAAGATTGTTTGACTTTTGGCAGAAAAGTAAAATCATAATATAGTATAATATAATAACATTGTATGGGAATATTCTAGCCGATACCATAACCCCAACTCGAAATACCGGCCCTGATTGTTGCACTCTCTGCTGCGGTGCAGGCAGCGCAGTTTTCGCTAGGAAATTGTGGGCTCGTCGGTAGCGCACCCACTTTTTGTTGCTGTTGTTGTTGTTGTTGTGTAAGCGGAGGCAGGCGCCTAACGGCTGTTTGTGTTATGTCTTAGCGGGGCGCAGGCGCAGGTGCTCCGCGGAAGGCGCCCACTCATGCATACACATGCACATACACATATGTGTATATTTTATGTACATTTGAATGTAATGGAAATGTGCATACATATGTACATTGTACATATGTATGTTGGTCAACCTGGCTCGCTCTTTATATTTATTGCTGACGTGGCCTTGAAGCCTGACGATGCGTTGGTAGTGTGTGTCTGTGTGGGTGTGTTTGTGTTTGTGTATGCAATTGCAATGACATTGAAAGAGTTGTTGGCGTTCGTTTGACGCGTTTTCGCTGTCTGGTTTGACTTTCCTTTGATTTTGATTGCGCAATCATGTGGCAAATGGTCTGAGCTGAACTGCTTGCGGATATTGATGTTCCCCCAAGCCAAGTGAGTGTTCTGTATATCCACCTCCAAATACGGATTGCACCATATGAGCCAAGGCCTCGCTGTTGAGACTGTTGTCGATCGATAGATTGGTAGTTGCTGAGTCTTGTTCGTTAAAGCACGCCCTGCCTGGCATTCCAACTGGCTCTGGCTCTTTTTTTTTTTTGTAAGAAGCAAAGCCAAGCAGCGTAGTAAATTGTTTATAAATTGTTTATACATACAGCAAAAAAAATCACTAACTAGAGGGCATTGCGCATGCGCCGCCGTCCGTGCTGAAAGGCCACAGCCACTTCAAAAAAAGGCACACAAAAGTGAGAGTATTCATTCGGATAATTATGAGTACTTACTGTACTGTGTACACTCATTCATTCACTCATTCGATAACAATTTTTTCTACGGGAATAGTCAGAAGGTAGCGACAGTCCATTGAACCATAACAAAATGCTTGAATTTAAGCTCGAAAAACAATGACTGCGTCGCAGTTTGTAGCCGGTTTCGGGTTTATAATAAAGAATGCTATGCTTCGCATACGTAATGAAAACCAATGAAAAAAAGCAACTATTTTTTGGGCATAAACAGAGACGTTTGTATATAACGATAGTATATAGTAGATATAGGTAGGTATGTAGA